AGTTTTCACTAGGACTGTGTTTCACATAATTTATAGGGCCAACGCAAGCCTAGAGCAATAGTTGTCAAATTTAACTTTCACCAAGATCGAGAGCGAATACGATTAAACGCCAGAAAGCTCAGGGGAACGCGTATTGGAATCGCGGAGCAGTTTCCCAAAGAAATTGAGAAGATTCGCCAAACCTTATACCCTGAGTTAAAGAAGGCTAAAGCGCAAGGACACAGAGTGCGTATGGTACGGGATAAATTATATATAAACAATGTTGAGTTCAAACCTTCAACTCATAATTAACATTACCATCTTTTCCTATTTTAACATATATAAATAGATGCTATGGCTACTCTAAAATTAGGTAAGAAATATTGTTCTTCTTGTTTCCTTAAAATAAGTATGGATCAAAAAAGCATTAATTGTCTGACATGCGGGGGATGGTTTCATGCTCGCACCGCATGCATGAAATCACCTGTCACATGTCAACAAACGGAAATCGATATATGCAACATGTGCTTAAGCTGTTCGCTTCCTTTTCACTCAATTGATGATTTAGAATTCCATTTTATTTTTGGCGATTTCAGTCGAGTTCCAAGTGATGAGTTTATGGATAGATTAACGCAACTCAAGTTTAATCCTTTTCACATTAATAATAATAACATTGCAAACGCTCAACACTTTGAGAATTATATGCCGGAAAATCTTGATGATTTGACATGCAATTATTACCTACCAAATGACTTTGCTATGAGTAATATTACTGATAACAAAAATCTGTCGATACTAAACCTTAATGTAAGAAGTATAGCTAATAAGTTTGACTCGTTTAGGAATCTTCTAAGTACTTTGAAACAACCTTTTTCTATAATTAGCCTAACTGAAACTTGGCTAAATGACCAAAACAGTGAAAATTTCCATCTTACTAATTTTGATTTTGTTTGCTCAAACAGAGCTAATAAAAAGGGCGGTGGAGTAGGAATTTTTATCTCAAATAATTTAAACTACAAACTACGAACTGACCTAAATATAAACGAAGACGAAATAGTTGAATCACTTTTCATTGAAATTATTTCAACAACTGGTAAAAATATAATTGTTGGTACTATCTACAGACCGCCAAGTGGTAATTTTGAAATGTTTGAAAATAAACTAAATGCAATACTAACCGAAGTTGACAAAACAGGGAAAATAACATATTTGACAGGGGATTTTAACATTGATCTTTTGAAATCTGATGATTGCGATTATTCCAATAGATTTTGTGAGCAACTTTTTACTTCATCTTTTTATCCGCTGATAAATAGACCAACTAGAATTACGCAGCATACAGCCACGTTAATTGATAATATCTTTACAAACAATCTTGAACAAATAGAATCTGGTGTAAATGGACTAATTTTCTCAGATATTTCAGATCATCTCCCCATATTTCATATAGCTTCTTCATCCACAAATAAAAATAATACAAAAAGAGGAAATGAACATTATAGAAGAATGGTCGACAAAGATAATCTTGCTTCGTTTTCATTATCTGTGAAAAATATATCGTGGGAAAGTACTTTCGAAACCAATGACCCTTGTGAATCCTATACGAATTTTCACAATAATTTGAAGGTAGCAATTGATAAATGTTTTCCTTTAGCAAAAATAAAAAAGAAAACTGTGGATCACACAAAAAGTCCCTGGATGACAATTGGTATATTTAAATCTATATCCAAGAAAAATAAACTCTATAAAAATTTTCTAAAAAAGCCATCTTATAGAAATGAGACAGCCTATAAAAAAATACAAAAACAAACTGAATCACGTAATAAAAACCGCAAAAAAGGCCTATTATGAAACACAATTTCTTAAGTATAAAAATGATATTAAAAAGACATGGCAAACTATTAACGAAGTTCTTAACAGAAATAAAACTAGATCAAAACTACCCGATACTTTTTTACAGAAGAATTCAAATAATAATGTTTCAAATCCTCTGGAAATTGCTAACAAATTTAACGAATATTTTGTGAAAATTGGTCCACAACTAGCCAAAAAAATTCCCAAAAATGATAACATAACGTATGAAAGCTACCTTAATGGTAACTATGTTGAAAGTATGTTTATAGAACCTGTGACTGAATATGAGCTGCAAGTTGAGATTAATAACTTAAGTGAAACTAAAAGTGCAGGACATGATGACATAAGCGCGAAAATGATAAAGATCATCAGTGAAGAAATAATTAAACCTCTAACATATATTTATAATCTATCATTTGAAACTGGAAAAATACCAAATTTTTTGAAAATAGCTTTAGTTACTCCTATTTTCAAAGCTAAGGAAAATAATCTATTTGAAAACTATCGACCTATATCGGTATTAACTTGTTTTTCAAAACTACTTGAAAAACTTATGCACAAGCGATTAATTAACTATGTTGAAAAACATCGTATACTTTCAGAACATCAATTTGGTTTTAGAAAAAAATAGATCAACTGAGCATGCCATTCTTGAACTAACCGATAAGATATCCAAAGCAATAGATGAAGGTAAATATACTGTAGGTATTTTCCTTGATCTCTCTAAAGCCTTCGACACTGTCAATCACGAAATTCTCATAAAAAACTTCAACACTATGGAATTAGAGGTATAGGTCTACAATGGTTTATAAATTATTTACAGGAAAGAACTCAAATGGTCAAATATAAACAACATAGGTCAACTGAAATGAGTGTTAGGACTGGCGTCCCACAGGGTTCAATTCTTGGACCACTACTATTTCTAATATACATTAATGACATTGAAAACTGCAGTAAAATTCTTTCTTTCGTCTTATATGCCGATGATACAAATGCCTTTTATTCAAATTCGTGCCTAAAAACTTTAGCTAGTACTATACAAAATGAAATGAATGAAGTAGTGCAATGGCTTAACGCCAATAAATTATCAATCAATGCATCGAAAACAACATTTGTCATTTTTAAATCAAAAAATAAGTCACAGCATCAAGAAATCATAGTAAAAATAAATAATGATATAGTTGAACAAGTACCTTGGGTAAAATTCCTAGGTGTATTAATTGATCAAGAGTTGACATGGAAGAATCACATCAACTCCGTTCTGAAAAACATAATTAAATCTGCCGGTCTGATTGCTAAACTAAGACATTTTACGAACAAAAACACTTCGAAATTGATTTATTATGCATTGGTCTATCCATACCTCACGTACGGAAATCTAGTTTGGGGAAGTACATACCCAACAAGGTTACAAAAGTTACTAAATGTGCAAAAAAAAATTGTACGACTAATCTGTTTTAAATCTTATATGGATCATTCTGAACCAATATTTTTACAATTGAAAATCTTGGATATCTACAAAATTAATGATTATCTATGCAGCTTATTCATGTATCGCTTCAATTATTGTCAAAATTTGCCGGACTTTTATAATGATTACTTCAAACAAAATAACGAACTATACAACTATAATACTCGAAATTCTACCAAGTTACATGTGAGCTATAAGAGAACAAACTATCGCAAATACACTGTATTTAACAAAGGAGTTTCTATATGGAATTGCCTTGATGAAGAAATTAAAAATATTAAATCATATTTTTCTTTTAAGAAAACTGCAAAATCCTATTACTTGATGTCTAGTTGATGTAAATATTTCAGGAATATTAATGACAGTATTCTGTAATGTACTAAATATTCCTTAAACATTTTCATATTTGTTTGTAAATAGTTTGTGTTTTTCATTGCAAATTGTCCTTATGTACATAATCTATTTTTATATTACTGAACACTAAAACTATAGGGGCCTCGTCTTAAAAGTCCAACAGGATTTCCAGAGGTCTCTAGCCCGTTTATATATTCTTAAATATTCAACTTGTAAATATTATTTGTGGGTAAATAAAACTAATCTAATCTAATGCCTTTGACAATTGACGAGACGGCTCCGTTCTGGCTCGCTTCAATTTATCCAAATCTATCCAATGTTTCCTTCTCCTTAATGACTGCAGCCGAAAATCTACATAATATGGTATTGGATGTAGAGCTATTTGATTTGTAGCATCTGTTGTGTTAGAACAGTCGTATACAAGATATCTAACAGGCATTTCGAAGCGCAAAGTATACAAATTTTCATTGCACACAATAGATATTTATTGTAATACAACATGAGTCGATTCACTTCCGTTCCCGGTGTGACATCACAAACCTGATTCGTACTCAGCCTCTTTTCTCCCGGCCATGTCTTGAAAAACCCTATTTTTTGCCTGTTTGATCTAAATTATCTCTGGAAGTATTTATCCGATCAAGGAATGATATATATCATTCGAATTGTCTAATTTTTGCTGATTTTTGGTGAAAAAATGGTATTAATGTCATATGCACTTTAACGAAGGGCCTTCACTCGAAACGTCGAGTTTTATGCTTGTTTATATATTTCAGGTAGTACTATAACCACTCAGCACAGCATATTAAACTGTTATCTTTTACTACCGAACTGAATATCTTTTACTGCCAAAAACATCTTTTACTCCCGAAAATATATTTCACTGCCGAAAACATCTTTTACTACCGAAAATATATTTCACTGATATATATTCTGAGTAGATTTGAAAAAGACATTGCCATTGGCGGTACGTAATTTTCCCCAGGCATTCTGTGAATAGTTTTTGCAATGCCATATATTATACAAGAAACATTCAAACTTTCATTAAAATTTTTTTTATCATTAACTAACGTAATTACGTGCGTAATGTTACCCCGGGCATTCATTTCCGACTCCCGGGCATCTTTTGTGACAGCCGGACATTCCGTGAACAGTATTTTGCAATGCCATATATTACAAGAATCATTTAATCTTTCATAAAATAAGTGATTTTAATAGTAACTAACGTAATTATTAACGTAATTTCCCCCGGGCATTCTTTCCCAACTCCCGGGCATTCCCGGACATTCAACGAATGTTCATTCTTTAGTATAGGACCCCTTTCATTGTTGTTACATTTTTCTGTTCACTTAGGTATGGGCAGTTCAGGTAATCTTAGATTCTACATACACATGAAATTTTATTTTTTTAAATACTCAGGCGATATGATTTTTATTGTGCGTTGATAATGTTAAAACATAAAAAGTATCTTCACCTTTCCTCCTGGTTTGATTTTCCAAGGAGATTTTTCTACCAATTCTGTAAAGTTTTGAGCACTGAGAAGCTTTCTGCATTCCTCCACAGCTGTTTATAAAAATGAAAGACATTGCACTATACTTTGGTCTATTACTAATACTGTAAGCATTTTTTCACAGTGTACTAACGGTCACCGTTATAGGGAGCGATAATTCGCGTATCGGGGGTACGCCACTGTTACGTCTAATACTTCTTTGTTTTCACCCAAGTACCACGTGGGCACGCCATATTCTCACTATCTGCGTACTTACTGAATACGTTTTGCACCTTATGACCAGCAAACGTTTCAAGGTACAGTATTCAAAACCGTAATTCCTAGATTTTCGACAGGTTTTGGCATGAAACATGATTGGACTGGTTGCTGAAATTGCTGAATGAATACGTTTATAAAACTGTGCTTAATGTACATTTATCCGCTCTAGACTATAAGTATAAGTACAAAATTAATTGAGTCTTCAGTTTGTATCAGCTCTGTAGGTTTGTAGCAATAATCATTGGAGAACCAATGAGATACAGCCTGTCTTACAGTTACGAGTATTTGACCAGTGGCCAGCCCAACGATTCAGTCCCGCTATGTAAATATTGCCATGTTTATAAACTATCAACATAATCAATTTCTAAAGAAATGAATAATGATAATAAGTTAAAATTTGCATAGCGGGACCAAATCGTCGGGCTGGCTATGCCACTGAGTATTTGATTTACTCAGTGAGTAGATCACCTTTTGCATGAGAGTTGGATTGAAATCCCAGGGTTCGTACACCTTCTCCCATTTAAAATTCCATGACTTTTCCATGACTTTTCATGACCATTTTTTTCAAAATCCATGACCTGGAAGTCTGGAATTTCTGAAATTCGTTAATATTTTAACGATAACAGATATAATAAAAGAACAAAATTCACTTCGCTCTTGCAAAAATCCGTCATATAACAACAATTCATATATTATTGTTATGACTGGTAAATTGAAATAAGTAAAATACTTTGTTAATGTTTTGTAAAATTTCAATTTTCCATGACTTTCCACGACTAAAATTGATTTTCCAGGATTTCCAGGCCTGGATTTTGGAATATTGAAATTCCATGACTTTCCAGGTTTTCCAGGACCCGTACGAATCCTGAAATCCAATGATCCAGACCCAAAGGGGAAAGTTAAGGTTACAGGACACCCTTTTTGGCGTTTTGCGGAAAATCGCTACTGCGCGCTCAATATCAGTCCAATTTTCATCAAATTTTCACCAAATGTTCTTCAGTGCATGCAAAATATGGTAAAGTTGTAAAATTAACAAGCAATAAAATAATGTAAGAATTAGGGACCGGTCATTATTTATGGCGGGGGGTGGCACCGAAGAGAAAATGGTTGGGTAAACTAAATTTTGAGTAAGTAAAAGGTTGGGTAAATGAAAAACAAAACAACTCAAGGGTTGGGTAAAAAAAAGTTATTGTCATATGTCAACACAATATGTGAATCAATCAGTCACTGTCTTGATCATTTTCCAATTTGTTAGAAGACAAATGGTGTCTCCAAAAAAAGCACATGTGCAGACAACATGATACATTAGCCTGCAGCACTCGTGTCACAGAAATCGGGTAAAGGACATATGTGACAACTGAATGGTAATCTTTTGTAAAGTTTAATTTTAGCCAGGGGTGGGTATTTATTTTTTACTTGATATTTGAGGTTGGGTAATCAAATTTTTGACTTTTTAATCGTTGGGTCAGCAAAATTTTTGCCACGAAAAACATTTCTCTTCGGTGCCAACCCCCACCATAAATAATGACCGGTCCCTTATTCAGGAAAATCTTAAATCGCGGTACCGTTACGCTTTTGAGTTATGTTCCTGCTGGTTTTAAGTTATATTTATGAAAATATCATTTTTATACAGTAAAATAGTTGTTCTAAAAAATTGTGTTCGGAAATTTTTGTTTATTTCGTCATTCCGCTGAAATGGCGATTTCTTTGACGACTGCAATATATTTCTGAATTGTTTGAGTGAATTGCTCTTTATTTTTAAAATATCCAAAATAAAAAAAAAGCCGAACACAATTTTGAAACTGACGTATTTAGCTATGCCCTGTGGAAATTTGAGAAAAATTGGTTAAAACCCGCAGGAGCATAACTCGTTTGAAAATCAGTAATTAGCGTGAAATGTTTCGTGAGAAAATTGAATTTGAATATTACATTTTCAATGTTTTTCTTATTGCAGCGAAATGTATTTTATTAAATAACTCTGCGAGTTTTCAACATTTTTCGTTCAAACTTGGTCAGATAGTAGAACTAATGCTTTCATTGAAACCAATAAAAAATTTTTAGGCAAAATTAACACTCAAAGGTGTTCTGTAACCTTAATCATGCTTGTGAAAAGCAGGGCGTGGTGAAAAGAGAATCAATAATTGTATGTAGGCCGGTTGTGCACAGGGATTGACATGAGCTGGCACCTGGTCGCCATTTGCAACCAACTTTCATCTCACGACCGGCTAAAGTTAATCCTCATGGGGGTTGGGCAAAAATTAATAATTCTGAAGCCCTTGGAAAATATCTCAGCGATTAAACATTTCATAAGTGATTCTACTTTTGCATATATTTCTACATCAATCAAATTATCCACGCGGCCCAGGCAAAAAGACCACGCAAGCCATAGTGGCCACATTGCACCTGGGTAAACCTTAACACATTGATATAGGGACATAAAACAAAATAAACCGAAAAATGAATTGAGTTATTTCAATGGGTTAATTAATTTATGTAATGAATAAAGTAATGTTAATTAGGTAATTTTGTAAATGGAATTAAAGGTAATTACCTTTTCAAGAAAGTAATTAATTCAATTTTGAGCAATAATCTTGTAGTTTGACAATTGCCCAATTATTAACTAAAGTACCATCTGCCCAACATTTAAGTACCGGTACACAAAACTGCCCGACTTGATAGGTTGCAGCCCCTAGCCTCTGCGGTGGGCAAAAATTTTTCCAGACCTGACATATTTCCTACTTTATATTTTTAATACATGTGCTGGTTTCTTTCATCTTTCCTGCATTATCAAAATGTGTTGGTAAAATCCATTGTGGACAAGATTTACTATGCATGCAAGTTCATATGAGCAAACAAACTAACAGATTGGGCCTAAAAAAATACAGTCTTGTGGTTCTGGTTCCTGACCGACCCTATTATTTTTTCAACGTGATTGACCTGTGCAACCCTATTTTCTTCAGGTGGTTGCGGGCTGTTGCCAAAATGGCGTCTGTTGTCACACTAATTATTGAAAAAACCATGAAAAAATATTCAAAAAAAAAATTATTTCCGACCTACCGACCCTAATTTTTTCGCGATATGAAACTGGATCCACAGGGTTTTTTTTAGGCCTTGATACTGTAGTTCATCTTAGTCTTCTTTGCTGACAGATGATCTGTCTGTTTGCAATGTTTATACATACAAATAAATTGAAATAATCAATAATAAATTTGCTGACCTGTTTTTTTGGCCTGCTCATACCCAGGCTGGTGTCTAGCCCAGAGAGGGAAAGATGGTATTTAAGAATATTCAGCCATGTACCCACATGCACATACAGGTATGTTCTTGCATGCAGCTAGGCCCTGACTGATACTTATAGATTGCAGTCTGGTATTTGAAAACTCAGGCAAAGACATGTTGAAATTAAATTTCACAATCAGACATTGACTAAAGAATAATTATGAAACCTGATCAAACCACTGAGCTCAATATATACATACTAGAATACTAAGTAAACATTATTGTTTTATTTGTTTATACAAATTCATGGATTGGTTGGACTAATTACTCATGGGTGTTTGTTGCAGTGGTTAGGGTGAATGTTAGGGATTATTAAGAAATTACAACACATGGATGCATGTACACCTGAAGTTTATTTAGAGTTTGACATCACCCGTGAGGTAGCAAACCTTTCATGGTCTCATGGATATTGCCCATGTATAAGAAATAGTTATAACTAAGGCCACTATTTGTTGTATATTAGTTTCTCATCCCAGCCTGCATGCTTTTTAAGGTTACAGGACACCCTTTTTAGCGTTTTGCGGAAAATCGCTACTGCGCGTTCAATATCAGTCCGATTTTCATCAAATTTGCACCAAATGTTCTCCAGTGCATGCAAAATATGGTAAAGTTGTAAAATTAACAAACAATAAAATAATGTAAGAATTATTCAAGAAAATCTTAAATCGCGGTACCGTTAGGCTTTTGAGTTGTGCTCCTGCTGGTTTCAAGTTATATTTATGAAAATATCATTTTTATACAGTAAAATAGTTGTTCTAAAAAAACGTGTTCGGAAATTTTTGTTTATTTCGTCATTCCGCTGATATGGCGATTTCTTTGACGACTGCAATATATTTCTGAATTGTTTGAGTGAATTGCTCTTTATTTTTAAAATATCCAAAATTAAAAAAAAGCCGAACACGTTTTTGAAACTGACGTATTTAGCTATGACCTGTGAAAATTTGAGAAAAATTGGTTGAAACCCGCAGGAGCACAACTCATTTGAAAATCAGTAATTACCGTAAAATTTTTCGGGAGAAAATTGAATTTGAATATTACATTTTCAATGTTTTTCTTATTGCAGCGAAATGTATTTTATTAAATAACTCTGCGAGTTTTCAACATTTTTCGTTCAAACTTGGTCAGATAGTAGAACTAGTCTAATGCTTTCATTGAAACCAATAAAAAAATTTTAGGCAAAATTAACACTCAAAGGTGTTCTGTAACCTTAAGAAAATGCATGGTCTTGTTCGCCATTATTGCCATTATTGCAATTTTTGACCATTATTTATATAAATTTTGTGATGTCTTCAGAGTGAAATTTGAAAGAAAGACAATTTAGAAACATTCCCATTCAAAAACGCGAGACGACCTTGGCCCATGGGTACAAAATTGTTTCACATGTGGTGCCTAGTGGCCATGTTTTTAATATGAAAACATGCTTTCAGTTTCACTTACTGATTTTGTGCTGTTTTGCAATGCTGAACTACAATCAATGTGTACCGCAAAACAGCAAGATGATTCCTTGTTCAGTGGAACATTGGGCTAGGTGCACATGTTTATCGATCTCGATTAATATACCTAATATACTCTCTGCACAGTGTTTATAGAGGAGTATGTATTAATGTATTATAAAACTTGCAATACATCTTGAACTTTTTTACGTTGGCGTCGTGCACATCAAAATCACATGCATGGAAACATTCAGAAAGTTGCAGCTCTATAAAACATACACAACATTCCTGTATTAATTTTCCAATATGCACCGTATAACAACGGGAAACCCAGCAAATAATGGTAATGGCCCGCCCGCATCAACTTTTGGTGAAGACCCGGATGAGAAACTAATATACAACAAATAGTGGCCTAACAGAACTTATAAAATGTAAATAATATGTGCAATAATTATACCTTGCTCATCAATCATCATGTCATGCTTTCAAAGATAAGCGTGACAGAAAAGTGCACTGTTTAAACTTTTAAACTGCACGAATTTAATACGAAAGTGAAACTTGAAACGAAACATTCAAGCCTCAAACCTTAATTGTCAAACCTTTCATGGTCTCAATATTGCCTGTATAAGAAATAGTTACTTTACCATGAAATGGAGATGGTGAACTGTTAACAAACTTTATAAACGGTTCTGCTGCCTCTTCGTGTATCTGTTAAATCAAATTTTATGCGACATGAATATATTCAATAAACTATATAGTCTATAGTCAATAGTATAGATAATTATATATAATATAACAGCATTTAATGCCTTTAATAGCAGGTTATTCATGGACTGGTCCCTAATTAACAAGAACTTATAAAATGTATTATAATATGTGCAATAATTATACCTTGCTCATCATGTCCGAGTCTTTCCAACTTAAGTGTGACAGAAAAGTGCACTGTTTAAACTGCACGGATTTAATACGAAAGTGAAACTTGAAACGAAGCATTCAAGCCTCAAGGCTGTGCTCAAGGGGAGTTCAAATGTTCAATCACGTGGTTCAATTGATGCATGAAGCCCTGAAACCAGATACTTCATGTAAGACCAGACACATAAAAAATAACCACTAAGGGCCTGACGTAATAACCCAGTTAATTTCTAACCTGGCGGATTGCTAATATTGTCATTTTTCTGCTTTCTAGCTCATCTTTTTTCCGGGAGACTAATATTTTAATAATTTTAGCAAAAAATATCGAGTGTGCCTATTCGTTCCGTGGTCTCAAGTCAACAAAATCGATCAGCGTGGCCATGCCATTATTCAGGGTTAACGTGCAGTGCTATAGCCTATAATACACAAAAATGACAAAATGTGCATTTCTGAATCCATTTGTGCAATTCTTAAATCACAAATGTGCAGTTACCAAGTTAACAAAAATCAACCTTAAATAATGCTTGTCGTTTTCCCTATGGATGCTCCGAGAAAATGCCAGAAATGTGGTCATTTGATCAGAATAAAAAATATAGAAAGTTTCTGGGAGTGGGGGTTTGGACCCCTTATTTTCTTCAGAAATACTCTACGTTTTTTGTCAACAAGGGGAGACTGGATTGAAAACTGCGTTTGTATCAGTTTGTGGTAATCTTCAACATGACATATGACGAAACAAAAGATTTTTAAAGTTTTTTGCTTCCTTTAATACACGAGCGCTATGATGCAAAATGCCGTCAAAATTAGTGTTATACCAAGTTTTGGGTGACGTTCGTGTTGACAAATATGTCGCTTTTTAATACTTAATTAAGCTCACTCAGTTTATAGAGTCGGGGAAAACTTGGTATATTCTTCGCTGCTGAAATGAATTTAAGGTTATTATATTAATAATATTCCTGATTCCCCGAGTTCTCTCTCGCAACCTTTGTTTGACACAGAGTCCTCGTTATACGCGATTTGAAACAGTAATTTTTGGGGGATTGTGTAAAACAAATCTCCGCCCGACGCATTCTCGTACCCAGAGCCCTTCTTACGCGCGGTGCGACGAGGGGTTCTGGCCAAATCCATAACTGGATACCATAAAAACATGGTAAGAAAACAATGTCCAGTGTTAGAACTAGCCAATCAGATGCCAGTTCGGAATATGCATTTGGCCAGAGCCCCTCGTCGCACCGCGCGTAAGAAGGGCTCTGGCTACGCCCTGGCTCTGGGTACGAGAATGCGTCCGACGTCGCTTTGGAGCACTACTCATGGTAGACAGCGGGGTCAATTTCAGCAGTTATACGCTATATTATTCATTAGTTGACAACTACCACTAACGTACCACCAGCTATAAGTTTTCATTTTGTTACTTTCTAACATATAATCGGGTTATATATTAAAATTTTATGTTTATAGCCAACAAATAAACAAGGAAACAAAATTTTAAAGTAAATTATCGTATCTTATTTTCTGAAAGTTTGTCGGGGAACTTGTTGGGGAAACGCATTCAAATTCTAGATGCGAGGCAATTTTTAGACTACTACTACAGTGCTATCTATTACAGTGCTATCTATTACTGACTGTTCAAAACTGATTATTTAGTAAGAAATCAAAGCTAAGTGTTATAGTTAAGTCATACTGGTGCGCGTTCAAACTTCAAAGAACAAAAATTAAAATGCTTTACTTGGATATAAAGGGCACCTCCGTGCACCTTCTACAGACAAAGGGCAAGGGGAGCAGCCGCCCCCCCCCCCCCGCCAGTTCCGACGCCGCTGCAAATATCATTAATTTATTTTAAATTGTTGAAGCATACGGATGTTCTCATCAAGACGTTTTACAAGCATTTATTCGGCCCGAGTTTGTATATCCGATATTATAAACATTACTTGTAACAAAAGAGTAGTTACTATTAACTAATTGTGTATAACTAAATCCATCTGCGGCTCTGATTTCATCCCATTACATTGTTTCATTACAACAATTTTTCTCATTTGACATCACTACCTAAATTTCTAATAAATACATACAAAATTCAACATTATACCACAAGAAAAATAATTACCATAATAGACTATAGCTAACTACAGTGTATTTCACTACACAATAAATAAATACAGTCAGGGGTGTAGCCAGCCCCAAACGAGTGGGAGGGGGTCCAGTCGTTGGTAGGGGATTCGGCTGTCAGCGCGGGCATAATCTCGGGAAAATTTTTCTATTTTACGCTATTTCATGCATTTTAGACTCGTTTTATGATAATCTGAAAGCCACAGATTTGGTATACAGCTACTTCAATTAAGGTTGTCCCCGAGCAAGGCGGAAAAGTCGAATACGAGCGCGAAAGGCTGCTGGGAATCGCTAATAAATGAATGGATTTATTAGCGATTCCGCAGCAGCCTTTCGCGCTCGTATTCGACTTTTCTGCTTTGCTCGGGGGACAACCTTAATCGAAATAGCTGTATTTTATGTCAGAGATTCGCATTACGAGGTTACGCCCCCTAGTTTTGGAAGAATTACAAAATTAGTCCTGAAGAAAAGTGGGGGATCCGGACCCCCATTCCCTCCTGTGGCTACGCCCCTGAATAAATCCGTCTCCTATTCTGATTTCATTTTCATTCCAGTTTCCTTTCTTTCCTGCCCATTAAGAGACAAAACTTTATCCTTTCTTAGTCCTGTGGTACGAGCTGATTGCGGACGTGTATCCTGCGAGAGCCAGGTGGGGCCATTGGTTATAAAATGTTGACTGATATCAAATAGGTTCATAACAGACGAAGCCTGAGTGAAACGGTTAAGGTATAAACATATCAATGTGATGCGAATAATCTAATTTTCATCATTTTCATTAAAGTGTTTATGATTGATTGAAGTTGCACATTTAGTACTTGTTAAGTCAAAAATAAATTTTGGAATGTGATTGGTTAGTGAAAAATTTCGCAGCGACATTTTTTTCCGGTAGAAAAGTGGAGTGTCGGTAGGTTATACCCTCATGAAAAATCTGCAACCTCTCTATCAGATGTGCCTGGACCGCCTTCCCTAAAGCTGATGCGTGGTAGTACTTTAGTGAACACCACACAAACATGACTTTAATAATAGATACTAGGTTACCCACAGGGCAGTAATGCTGCCTTCGACAGCAAAAGACAAACTACAGGGTGTTGAACGAGTCCTTCAGAAACATCCTATTGTTATCCTTGCAGGTTAACCCATTTATTGACAGTACCCTACCACTGACTGAGTATTAAAAATCGTCTGGCGTTGGACAGGGTAAATACTAAAGTAGGGGTCATTACTATGCTGATGGATTAACAAGAGACACTGGCAGATAGGTTTGTTAACCCATTTACTGGCAGTACCCTATACCACTGACGAGTACAATCTTCTGGCGCTGGACAAGGGAAGGGCGCATTGCCAGCTAATGGGTTAAACCACCGTGGTTAAACATAAGATTTGATGCTCCAGGAAATGTAAACAAGCTATCAGTGTAACATCCCAGTTTATATATTTATATACTCGGAATATTGATTTCTCGGTATATACAAAATTATTTTAAAGTATAACAACCAGCGAAGAAGTAAGCCACTAACTACCCTGCGCGGCTGCGCGCAGACTATATAATGACATATATATGTCATCCGTCCAGTCCGTCCGTCATTCATCCGTCCATCCGTATCCGCGTTTTATCCTATCCGTTTTTAAAATACAAAGTTTGCATAATTAAGGCAGTGCGGTTCGTCATGGCAACATTTTCAAAAGCGGCCAATTAGACCAGGCGTTAAAGGTCAATGACAATGACATGCAAGTGACATTTAACATTGCGTCTCACTAATTAAAGTTTGCGTGTTTAATAATGTTTATCAAAGAAAGCAAAAATATATACAAGACAATCTCACATGTGGAATTTGTTCACTTACGTACTGCCTTGTGATGCAGTACAAGTATAAATACAAATGACAAAGCATTTGTAAATCCTAAAACATAATTAAATCATACGGCACATTCAAGATTTTATTAAATATCGTATTTCAGCCGCGTTTATACTGCTTGGCGCATTCGCTGCGTTATATTCATTTATATACACAGAAAAGCATGTCATTGTCTTTGCGGACCATAGGCAAAAAGCATTTGTCAACCACATACCAAATTTAAGCAATCGTTAAATCATAGACATGTCATGGAAAGAATATGGAAATAATGTTGAATGAAAGCTAGCATCGCGTATGTTAAAAGCACCGCATATAGTGCTCGAACCACTGCGTATATTAATTGCAAAAGCAACGCGTATATAAATGGTGAAAGCACCGCGTATAATGCTGGAACCACCGCGTATAATGCGGGAACCACCGCGTATAGTGGCGAAAGCACCGTGTATGATGCCGAAAGCACCATGCACCGTATAATGCTAAAAGCACCCAACAAAATGCCGTTTGATCACTTTAAACCAGCTATAGCCTGCGTCACAGACGCTCGTGGCGGAAACCAGCTATGGCTTTCCATAAAAGAAGATCAAAGATGAAAGATGATCACATTGTCTGTTTGCCTTATGCCGGACCGCGCTGCACCACGGTTAAAATTCACTGGTACCGTCATGCAATGCGCCAAATGGAAAATTTTGATTTCGACCCACAAAACAAAATTAGGATCTGCTGCCTTGCTCGCTCGCTTCAGGCTCGCTCGCTGCGGCAGCAATTATTTCTACGGTAAAAATACAGAAGAAAGAAAAGCGAAAAGTGGTCAGTATTCATCACACATGAATTGACCTTAGAAGTCCTTACGTCACGTCATGCGCACGTCACTGTCAAACAATGAATATTTTAACCCCTGTATCCCACATTGCACTGCGTATATACCTGATGTTTGGATGGACTGCAAACTGCGTTCCGTAAGCACTCCTATACGAGAGTCAATTTGAACATAATTAACAACTGCAACCAAAAAAGGATACATTTCTTTCAACAGAAGATGGCAGTTTAAAAACTGATGGAGCTTGCGTAAAACGACCTCTTGCAACTCCTAAATAAATTATATATTTTCAGATAAAAGTGGCAGACAAAAATCACTCTTCCAACGTAATCGAAACAAAATTTAGAGAACTGCCTATTGCAAGAATGGAAGCCAGTGGCAAAGGTGGAAGGTACATCCCCGCCACTAACACACAGTACACTCATTCTGGTCACGGTAAACTAGTGAAGCATTATTTGAGATACCACAATTTACCTGATGGATGAAAATAGAGACTTGCTTTTGGTGAATATACAGTTCCCATTCTGGACGGCATGAATAAAGCAGGCAAACAAACATCTAAATGGAAGAACGCGTAGATAAGAAATTTACAGTATTAACTGCGGGTGATGATAATAATGATTTAATGCCTTCGCCAGGAGGTTGTGTTTTCAACCGCGTTTGTATGTGACAGTTTGTGTTTGTGTTTGTGTTTGTGTTTGTGTTTGTGTTTGTGTTTGTGTTTGTGTTTGTGTTTGTCTGCCAGCACAATAAATTAAAAAAATATCACGAACATTTGTGAGACTACTGAACTTAAGACAAATTGACTAAATTGTGGTTAAATTTGGATACAAATTGTGTGCGAAATTAGCAGAAGTTTGTCCCGCCTTGCCGAGGAGAGTGAACTGAATCATGCATATAAATACGTATTACGTAACTTAATTTGCTGGCAGAGGTAACAGTCTCTACGTGAGTGCTCTCTACACACGTAAAAACGCATGCACAAGTTTTACAGGTCTGCAAACAAGTTGTCACAAGTCTGTTCACAAGCTGTCGAGAATATCGTTCTATCATGACTGTATCGGACTTTTCAGAACAACCTTGCAACAAGTCTGATAATATCAACAAGGTTGTTACAAGTTGTTAACAGCTTGTTCCAAACTTGTTGACAACTTGGGACAAGCAGTGCGAGCACAACTTGTTGACGGCCTGTTGGTGGCAGGCTTGCTACAAAATGTGATATTTTTGCGTGTGTAGTTTATTTATTTAATTTTTAATAGCTTCGCCAAGAATACACATACTAATTAGCTAATACATAATAACAAAAATAACTGAAAAGACCGCTCAAAAACTTGGCTGGAACACCGCAGCAGTATTGAGCCAATTACAGTGGGTCGATGCTATAGGGTGCGTTGGCCAATTTACCCATAATGTGCTCAACAACTATGGCTTAAGGTTACGTTTTTGGTGCCCGAGGAAGGAAACGGGAGGACACGGACAAACTACTCAAAGTACAGGAGAGAACTAATCAAACTCTACTGAAAGGAAGTTACAAAGAAGTTACCTAACCCAGGTAAATCGCTAATTAAACCTCGATCTATACAGGAGATTTAATTCAGCGGCGACGGGCAGCGCGCTAATCTGCGACCCGCGCTCCCGAAAATTACGTTTCACCCAAATTCTTTCGATGCATGGAGTAAGATTCTCTCACCATTTAGGTCTAATTCATCTCCTTCTGCACTCAGTCGGTTCTGTGTTGCCATTTGAAGTTCATAATTTTCCTGAACCTACATAGTCAATGAACAATGATGTGATAATCTTATACTCTATTATTCCAACACTCTAATACTTAACTATACTAGAGTTATGACGGTTGAGAAAATTAAATAAGAACGAACCGCTTTCTTTGTCTTTTCGCTCAAATCTTGATGATATTTTGCACTCGCTCTAGAAAACTGTTCTAGTCGATCAAAAAACTGTAAAAAACGACAAAAAATCATTATCGTTATTTCACGACAAATCTGCAGGTACGATAGTACAACAACATGTATAGTGATCTTTTAATATAGTAAAACAAGTAGAGAGAGAGAGAGAGAGAGAGAGAGAGAGAGATCAGATGTCTGCAAGCTATTGAAGGAGTAAGACGACGAGAGAGAATAAGAAAGGAATTGAATGTGGTGGAGCTGAGAGAGAAAATATGAGAAAGGAGACTGACAACCAATGGACAACTGAAGTGAATGAAGGAAAACGACTTTGTGAGATGGGCAGTAGAGAGCAAGGAACGCCCGAGAAAGCGATGCATGGACTGTTTTTCGGAACGATAGTAAAATAATGGATCCATGCAGACAAAGTTCATGACAGAATAACGTGCTTGCAGGAAGTTATCAAGGCGACCACCCTGCAGGCAAACACATGCATGACTTGGGCAGTATGTAGAATCCTTACATTTTCTGGAAGATCCTTGCCCCATTCTGGTAGAACTTGACCAGTTCTAATTTTCTTCGTTCTCTTTGACGACGTTCTTAAAGACATAGTACGAACAGTTAAAATATTTCTTATAATCAAAAGTAGCATACTAAACTACACAAAGGGGCCTTCGCTTGAGACGTAGTTGTTTCTATATTATGCAGGCAGTAAAATTCTTTAACCAACATCATATACTGGACTGGCTAGTTAGTGGCGTGGTCCCGCGGCTTGCCTGCCGAGATCCTGCATGAGGTAGGTGAAATCCTGGCATTTCCAAGCTTATATGAAACGGGTCATACATATAGAATAGAGGTGTGCATCGGATAGGATTGGACGTTTATAATCCGACAATTGCCTAATGTTTAAAATCCGATCCGGAATTGTCTAATCCGAATCCGATCCGAGTTTTGATAAAGAATTCCAATCCGATCCGATCCGAAGAATTCTTTAATAAAATAAATTTCTCATTCAAGTTGAAATATTTAACCAAATAAATATAAAAGCAAGAAATACATGTCAAGAAGCTGACAAAGTGATGTCCAATCAGGGGCGTAGGAAGCGGAAGCACGGCGGCACGCGCCCCCAATTTTTTCAAAGGACTAAAAGTGCCCTTTTTTGTGATGAAAAGTGCCCTTTTTGTACAAGCTAATGTCGTTGTAAATACTAAATTAATATCAAAGATGCCCTTTTTGTTTGGAAATTTCCAAGTTTTTTTTTAAAAATGTGGCCTGTCAAAAACGTGCAATCTCGGTATGGTATGACGGGAAAATTTTTCCGTTCCGCGCGCAAACCTTGCCCCCCCCCGCGCAAACATTTCCGGAAAAATTTTTTAGGTGCCCTTTTCAATGTCCTAAAGTGCCCCTGGAAACCGGTGCCCCCTAATCTTTTGATGCTTCGTACGCCCCTGCGTCCAATTGAAGTATCAAACGAATAATGCAGCGACAACCGCGATAATGCTTTGATAAATGCATGGATAATTAATTCTTGCGATAATGCATGCGTGGATAATTAATTCATTTTATTTCGGATATTGAAGTCCGATCCGACTACGAAACAACTTTATCAATCCGACCCGATCCGAAATTAATATTTTGGTTCCGAAATCTGAACGAATCCGATCGGATTTGCACACCTCTAATATAGAACGGGCATTACGGCACTAGAGGGCCTACATTTGCATTTTTCGCAGCTGCTCCTGGTTATAGGTCTAAAAATACTAAAATTGTATATAATCTTCCGCTTTCCATCTACAAAAACCCTTCAACCATTTTGTTACAAGGCATGCCTTTGTTCTGCCAAAAACCGTCTAAAACGTCCAAGCAAATTGAATGTGGTGGATATTTAGGCAGCGTTTAAAAGTATTGATCATGAAGAACTTGGCTGAACGATGCAACTATTTAAATATAATAATTTTTCAGGTAGTTAATTGCATGCTTCGATCAAGTTCTTGAATAAATATAAACATATAGTTTGGTTTCCACAACACTCACCTCGCCTCAGCTGTACGTGGTCTTGGACTGCTCTTGCGTGAACACGGTGCTGCAGAAGACAGTGCACTTTGTGGTATGGGGGATGTACAAGCTGGAAGGAATAAATTGTAATATTTTCGTTAATAGTTCATAAAGGAACACAAAAGAAATTATTACCTAGCCTTGCTCTACGTCTGCCTCTGAAAAGGATTTGTATTTGAGAATTATTTGGGGTTTTATTTGGGAGTTCTCCCGCACGCCCGCCTCCCCCCCTTTAAACTCTCCGCATTCTAGCGCACCTTTTATGACTGTAGAGCTATTATACATTTATAGTCTAATCATGACCGTGTCAGGATCAAGAACTAATGAATTTTATATACAGTATGATATAGCTACAGAAAATCATTCCGTTTTACATAAAGTTTAGGTTCATATTTCCGTCATAAAATCACTCGCGTCTTTTGGATTGTTGAAGAATTCGAACGTTTTTATTAAGGCGAATCATAATTGTACATCATTCGCGTCGGTGCTGTGTAAGATATTTCAAAAACTCATTAATAATTCAAAACACAAAGAAAAATCATAAGCGTGTCGTGGTTTAATATGTGATAAAAAATCATGTTAATTTACATAAACTTTAGCTTTGATTTTCTCGGTTTAGACATAGTTTATTTTAAAAATTACTTCGCCAATGAACTCGTACAAGATGAGTCGTTTTTGAAGCCATTTAAAGCACTTGTAGTCGTGTTTTATCACATATAAAACTCTCCGCTACGCGTCGTGTTTTATATGTGATAAAACACTCCTACGCGTGCTTTAAATAGTACATAATCACTCGCCTTCGGCTCGCGTATATCATATACCAAAGCCTGCGTAGCGGCGCTAGGGGGTGGGGTGGGGAGAGAGCACGGGAAAAGGAGAGGGGCGAAGGCTAACTAGGTAAGCATCCTGTTCATTATACTTATCATCATCAATAAGGGTTATATAACGTAGCAGCGTAGGTGCTTACTGCATGGGGAGTTTGAAACGCTACGAGTGCAAGAATCTAAGAAAAATGGGAAAACATGAGTATAGGCATGTGCAGTTAAGGAACATGACGTCTTGTACGATAATAACAGTTGGCATACCGCTTATAAATTTAGGTTCAGCTGAAGTAGTCGAGAATCCATCTGGCGACTCTCTCATTGACACACGAGCTATTTCTTGTAAATGTAATCTAGAAGAAATATATACACAAAATTAATAGAGAAAATATTTAAATTTCTATACATGGCCAAGCGCATTAATTAATTTATACAGGTACAACAGTGACAACGAAAACTAAAGTTCAACTCCACTAAACACCGTAGGTTTAATCTGGAGTGTGGTGGTGATCAATATGTCCACATGCCAACGATGTGAAATGATAGTGATAAAATGGTATATTGCGGGAATCGAATCCTGGTCGCAGAAATGAAATGCACCTCACTATTTAGCTGTGTCAGAAGTGTCAACCACTCTCCTAACTTACTCGTATTCGATTCTCAGACATCCCATTTCCTCCATATGCCTATGCTTTATTTCTTCAAAATCAGCCTCAGTGTAAATTTTCGTCGCCTATTTTAAAAGACATGCAAAATGTACTATTACTGATATTAAGGTAATTCCGCAGTTTTGCATGGCGCACTTTTACTGCGCACATCTTATAACTTATAATTTCATCCATTATACGTACCGTTTAAAAAAAATCATTTTATGACAATTTTATGTTACTTCAAAACATCTTTGGTTACATTCGTGCAAAGAATTACGTTAAATCAATGTTTTCAAAAAAGGCATACAAAAGTGTAGCTAGGGTTCCCTGTGTCTGTAGTATATATATTTACTTCTATTTCACGTTTTAATGCCACAATTCCCTAAAAAGATCGGTGACCCCCGTTTTTTAACTGATAATTTATTTCTTTAATGCATTTTACATTTCATATCCGAAATTAAAAGAAAAATCATTTCTGGATCTTGAAAAAAAATCCTTTATCAATGCATGTTCTCAAAGAAAGATATGTAAAGAAATGTGGAAAAGACATCTGTGGATTAGAATTGTACACGTTAGTAGTTTCATTTTGCTCAAAACACAATATTTTTTTAAAATAATTACAAGATAGGTTTACTAAAGCAAAATCCGCGCTAAAAACGTCAGTAAATATCGGGCTGTTGTAATTTTGCTGTTACTCGTAATGAGCGTCAAGATGGCGCCATATTGGGGTAAAGGTGGTATATTGTGATTGTCATATCTTCTTAACGAGTCCGGTGACTCCATGCCTGGGAAGTTTCAGCACATTCTCATTTCGGGAACAATTACTGCGGAATTACCTTAAGTATATAAGTTGTAAGACAAAACATAAGAATGACGAAAGAAGAAGAAAAGATGCTAATTGTTTCTCAGAGATCGAAAAATCATAGAAATTTGGGCAAATTTATATTCACTAAAAAAATACTGGAATTTTTTCCCCAAATCCTTAATATGGTATAAGTATTGTTCCTATATATTAACCACTGTTCACAGTGTAATTAGGAATTAAGGTGCATTCCGTGTAACAACAATATAACATTGTGATTGATTTAAAATAATAATACTTTGAATGAGTTTGAGAAAGTCTCGCTGTCAGCTGAAATCATGTTTGAAATTTTCTCTTCATTGCACTCCTGGAATTGTACCATGCATGCATTAATCTCTCGACAGTACCTCATTATCCTCCTTAATCCTATGATCATCCTCCTCTTTTCTAAAATGAACATAAAAATTGTAGCAACCTTGAGTAAGAAACTAATTTAGTAAAACTTGATTCGCAGGAGCAAAGTGATAAAACAAAGACTGACTGCGAGGTGGTCTATTTTTATGCAATTTATATTATAGCGGTGAGGTACATGCAATTAATATGAGTTTCTATGTGCTGGCTAGCCGTCTTGCTTTTCCCATTTCTGCGAGAACGCACCGGTTGGCGTAACAAAACAAACAGAGGACTAGAGGAGTGCATTAAAACCTATTTCAAACACTCATTAATAATTAATAAGCTTATTGGCAAATCATGTCAACCATAATATGTCACGTGCAGTGGCTTTAAACCTGATAAAACACTCCTAATTAGTATTCTTTATATAAAGAATACTAATAAGGCAGTATCTATTGTAGTGATGTCCTCATTAGTATTCTTTATATAAAGTATATAAACTAATAGGCAGCATATCTATTGAATTTGTAGTCGTGTTTGAAGCCGTTTAATAAACTCGCAGGTCGTGTTTTATTATGTCTAAAGCCACTCGCGCTGCGCGCTCGTGTCTTTAAACATAATAAAACACTCCTGCTCGTTTATTAAACAGTACATAGACCTCCTATATACCAAGCACATAACAATGATGTACACCAGCATATTTACTGGGATTGACATTATATAAAAAAATTATATATTATTATATTTTTTAATGCTCATTTCATGAGTCTAGTTAAAAGTAAAGGAAAATTTAAAAATTCAATGTTGAAACAGAAATATTATATAGAAGAGACAACCTTTCTTCAAACACGTATTAGTATTACATAATCTTAAAAAAAAACCGTTTAAGTATGGCATACGGTCGTGTGCACGTGATTTCTCAATTGAATTGTGAGGATTGTATAAACAATCGATAGTCCTAATGATGTTAAATCAGGTGATATCTATTGAAGACTATTTATGGTAAATGATGGATGGCGGTAGATGACACTAGATGACGGTAGATATTGAACTATTTAATAGTTAAAAAATAATTGGGATTTTGCTTGTGCACAATGCATCATGGTAGAACATATTACCCACGATGACCTAGGACTAGGTCCCCTCTCCCTCATCGTTACTACTGTTTAGATACACTAAACGGCGAACAGTCACTGTGTTGTGGGCAGCAGCAGGTCGTGTTCGCAGGTTAAGATACACCGTTTTATATCACGCGTTATAGTGTTAAAGTTGAGAAGTTATAAGTTCTCGGAGAACGCCATTAAATCGATACAGTTCATTGCATGGCGCGGTCTTTTAAATATATAAGCGTCCGGTTTTATTGACCTTTATTCATCTTTAGTTTATATTAAATATATATATTATAGAGGGTCCTGCATGAAGGGGGTCTAGATCCCATTTCCCAGCCCAAATTTTCTCTAAATCCCATTTCCGAGCCCTTTTTTTAAATCAAATCCCAGTCCCACTGTGAAATTGAAAGAAAGTCGCAGAGCAGGTTCCCATGGTACACGTGAACAAAAACTCTGGAAACGTCACCACACACTAGGGGAATATTTGCTTACGCAAGTAGTCACGAGTGAAATTTTGCTAAGTACATAGCCCTAGTGTGCGCCGGGCTACAAAATGCAGAATAAAGTTGCAAGAATGATCTTTAGCTATAAAATTGACGAAATCTCAATAGACTAAAACTTAAGGAAATTGGTTTGCTGTCGCAGAAGCAGAGATATATTTAGAACCTTGCTTGTGGCACATTAAGAATAATGAACTCTGGTGAACCAGTTACAATTCATCAATCTTTTAGCATTTCAAAAATCCACATTTCTATATATATAATAAGCCTTTCATTATGAACAAATTATATATATATATATATATATATATATATATATATATATATATATATATATATATATATATATATATATATATATATATATATATATATATATATATATATATATATATATATATATATATATATATATATACAGTCAGTGTTTCGTTCATAATGAAAGGCTTATTATCGTTCATAATGAAAGGATTATTATATATTATTATATTATGTATATATACGTGAAAACTTAATCTAATGCTAACTATGAATCTTTACAAATATGTTCTCTTCCTTACATATAAAGTTGTGTCAGTTATTGAATCACATGAAAGCGGACTGTTGCAAGCAAGCAACACATGTGACATGGGAGCCCTAGCAATAAACACTCATTCTGAAAAAAGAAAGATTTGGTTTACTATGAAAAAATGTTTGGAAACACGAGGTCTCCATTACAAAGTACACTGTACTTGGAGCTCACATTTATATTGTTCCAAATGTTATGACTGGACGAATGGATGAGTTGCCGGTTTACAGACCCCCTTGTTTTTTTTGCAGCCAATTGCCCCCTGGAGATCCCATAACACATTGCACTTGCAAGTAATACTCAATGTATTATGAGATCACCATCTGTAAGGTCTGGTACAGAGAAACATAAACACTCTTTTATACCCAGGGCTATTTCCCTGAATAATAGATAGATTTTAATATTATAAAATAGCATATATATTTATTATTTACTATAAATAAAATTGTATATACATTGTAATTTTATCATAGTTCTAATCATATTTGTAAACCTATTGTACTTTTTAACTTAAAATAGGTATTAAAGATTATTATTATTATAATTTGTAGAAATTTGCTATTATGGTTTAAATAGTAAATTATCTATAATTGATAAAGTAGGTACTGTTTAAGAGCTTCTGGAATGGGTAGTTTGTGTACTAACTTTGGAGGACACATACTAATAATCTTGATTCTGCAATAATGTTTCAATGTGAAATGCATTCTGGGCAACAACCATACTGAGACAACATCCTCAGAATATCCAACAGCTAGATATTCACAAGACTTTGAGAAACACACACTTGTTGCTGCCAAATGTTGTGGTGTGTTTGACAAATCAAGTTCAGATTGAAAATTTGGGCAAAGTATAGTCCATAATATTTGAAACAGATTTGTATCTAGAATAATGATATCTCCATCTGATAATGGAACAGCAAACAGATTTCCATCAGATGAAAATCTCGGGCACGAAGTGACTTCTGGGCCATTAGGAATGTCATGTGTGACATACATCTTGTCAATGGAATCAATTGATTTAATCCGTTGGGTTAGGTCATCATAAAGTGGAGAAGTATCCCATTTTTGCAAACAACCCCATTTTGTCAAGCTTATAAGTTGATGTGTAAACAATGGACTAAAAACACCCCAGATGAGGCTGGCAAAGGGTTTCATCTCCTCTGTAACATTTAGAATAATTTTCCATGTTTTGGTTGATATCAAATACACTCCGCTAGATTTCCATTTTGCAAAGGTCCCTGCAGCAAGGATTTCATTGTCAGAGGAAAATTCAAGACTTATAATAAGCATTTCTAAACTGAACATAGAATTAGGAAATGTTTTATAGATGGCAGCCATCTGTTTCTTATCAAGCTTGTTCTTGTTTAGTGTGTAGATCTCCAAATGATTTTTAGTTCCTATTGTAAAAAAGTTTGAACAGACCGCTAGTACTAGCCATTTTCCATTTGGAGAAATGGAACAACATGTGGCATGAGATATAGTACATCGTTGAATAGTTTCATCAACAAAATCTAATTTCTCACATGTCTGAGGACACCAATGTAAAGTTTTATTTACACATCGCCAGAGTTGTAAATGACTGTAGCCAGTATAGATTAAAATTGCAGCATATTCCTTGTTACTGGATACAGATATATCACGAACTGAGCTGCTGAGAACTTCGTGCATTTCACCAGAATGGAGGTCTATTAGACATAAATTATCACCCTCTGGACCTGTACGACCACCAGGTGGTTCTTCGAACAATCGTCTTGCCAAGTCATTGAAAGCTGCAAAATAAACTGAACCAAAGAGAAGATAGTTTTCATCCCTCAGAAAAGCCAAGGATGATCTTTGACCGTAACCAGGCCTTGGCTCGGCTCGCTGTGGCTTTAAGAAAATTTTTATCATATTCGGCGCACATGAAGATTGCATTTTACTTGTATCCAAAAACTGGAATGGAATATGGACCCTTGCCGATAAGTCATTGTTTGGTTCTTGACTACTTCGTTTTGATATTTTAGAGCCCATAGTTTGCAAAGATTTTTCTGTAAACTATTTATTATCCGCCATCTTGCAAACGTTCTGTTCGTGTTTCCAGTTTGTTATAGAGAGTTTCAATGATTAAAAGATTACAAAGATTACAGCCAAATTTCCTGATTTCATGTTAATGGACCATTGGCATTGGGCCATGGTCCCCGTGAATTTTGGTTTTCTACAGGCATTACACTATTACAGTAACCAGGGCCGGAGCTACGGGGGGTGTGACACCCCCCAGAAATTCTATTCCAAGCTTCAGCCGGCAGGACTGCTATTTCAGTCGGTAGACAAAAATATTTTTGACGAATAAAACTACTACCGATTTCACCTGTTATATAAGAAACGGAAATTTTGGTTACTCGAAATTTACTCAGCAGGATAATCATTATAATCGGTTAGCAAAACAAGCCCAGATTGACAGTTAAACGACACAGCGATACAAAGTATATGTATAGCATATTTGATAGGTATAGTACCGCCGAACACAATATATTGCCGCCAAAAACTCAATTATCAAACATGACGATTTAGAACAGGCTTTATTTAGAGCACAACGGGCGTAACTTCAGGGACCGCGGAGCAGGGGGGGGGGCAACAATTCCTCATACATATGTAATTTTTATAAACTAAGAATACTGAAATCTTTCAGATCAGTTAACAATATATTTATTTAACAATTATTCGCCGAAGGCGAGGTGATTATCGGTGAATAAAAACCGAGACGAAGTCGAGGTTTTTATTCACGATAATCACCGAGCCTGAGGTGAATAATTGTTTTAGTATAATTTCATAGGTGATTATTTGGGAAAAAATAAGAAAATACAGATTTCTTCGCCATTTAATTGACAAAAAGGCTTCGGCCGCCATTTTGAAAATCGCTTAGGTGATTATCGCGTAATAATCACCTCAACGGCAACCAATCAGCGTGGAGAATTTTCAATAATCACCTATGTAATTATACTAAAACTTATTAGTATAAGTATACAATCTATTTCTGGTTGGTACAAATGACGGGTAATGTTAGATTAAGGCCCCAGTTACACGATACCGGATTGGTATCGGAGCGACATCAGTTTAAGGTGTTTTCCAGTCTTGTCTGCTATTACAACTTTTCATATATGAAGTTTTTGTTTAATTATGTTATATGATCAGAATTTTAAGTGCCAAATTCACTTCGAGTAAAATTTGATGTCGCTCCGATGCGAATCCGGTATCGTGTAACTGGGGCCTAGAAGTCGTCTATTAAGAAACTTTTTAACAGCAACTAGTAAATTTGATTGCATTTCCGGGGCTCTGGGAGGTCTCAGATTTCAAAATTTCCAGGGGCAGCATTCCCCCGGACCCCCCGGACAAACTCACGCATTCGACGTTCGCTGTAGCCCCCTTAATCTAAGAATGGCTCCGTAGTTGACCTCCATCGGAAATTCCACAAGCTTCCATGGCTAGCAGGTGGTCGGTACAAGCTCGTTCGTCAGACCTTATACCCGCCTGAAAAATTTCCTCGGGACGGCCCTGACAGTAGCACAGGGGCCAGGGATCTTTCTTTCGATCCTAGGCACAGTCACTGTGGCACAGTATAGGGACCCAAGCTTGTGTCTGACAATTGGACAACCTTTTATTTCATAAAAACCCACCATGATGAAAACTGTGAAGTGGTGGAGATATCACTACGCCTAAATTTGTATTAAACTATTTTTTCCCATAAACGATTCCTCTGCAGGACACTAACCATGCACAAAGCTAAAGAGGTCAGTGGATTTATCAATTGAAAGCTAGGTGGGTAATTAGTGGGTAACTTATTACTTTTTTGGTAAAAACCCAACATGGAATAACTCGGCAAAGTGGTGGAGTTATAACCATGGCTAGCTTGTATTAAAAATATTTTCCAGGGAGAAAAATAAAGTATATTTAAGTGCGGTCCTTACGACTCCTGTGCACGGCTCTGACCCAGACCATTGCAGAGCCATTGAGTTAAGTCGTGCAACCAGACCATTTGGTAGGTAACTTATTTTTTGTAAAAAATCCACCATGATGATAACTAAGTAGGGGCCATGGAATTATCACTCTGGCTAATCTTTATTAAGAATTTAACAATTCCCACGAATGAGCATGGGAAAAGACGTCTGGCGGGAAAAGACGTCTGGCGGGAAAAGACGTCTGGGTTCGCACTGGACGACCAGAGTGCTGTAGACGCTAGGCATTAATTATTTGATTTTAGCTGAAATAAGTCTCGAACTGGATATACTGATCATTTATAATCTGCTCTACACTGACCTACGTTATCTTTAATCTATTTCTGACATTGCAAAGTCACTGCAAGGCATAATATCAACGAAGATTTTAGACCAAACCTCGACGAACAATATGTAAGGAATTTCCTCTTTCCTTATAGGGCCACCCCTGGGCCCCTCCCATAAAATTAAAACATAATATTGACAAGGAGAACTCATATCACTGGCTCTTCGGCTTCGCCTCATCCACTACACCTATGCATGACAACGTGCTTTAAATGTAGTGATAACAAACATGTGATTATTATAACAAAATATTCTTACTTCTTAGCCGCCAATACTTCATCAACTAACCTGCAACCAAAAATCAAAAGAGTTGTTTACAAAACAAAACTATCAAAGAAACAAATTAATTAAAGTTTCTTATATTGAAACATTTTCATTGATTAATAGAGCTAAATAGTTTGCGATCAATAAGAAAGTTTGAATATTGTACATTACTTTTCAAGTCAGTTATTTTTTTCAGTGTAAATATCTATGCTGATTGCCTCATATATACTTACTCTTGGAATGACAAAGTCTGTGTTGATTTATTAAGTAAACACAATCTACATAAAAAGAACAATTCAGTTTTATAGTGGAATGACAATACCAATTGGCAATTCAGTCAATGAAGATCCATACGGATTCATAACTTATGACAGTGTAGACCACAGATCATTTTATATTAAGGGAAAATGCAATTTTCTTTGAACAACTCTTGAGATCCAGCCTGTTTCGTCTCGGTAGCTGCTATACGATACATTCTGACTTTAATGTCCAGACTCGGTACTTGCTTTTGAAAGCTTACCTTTCTTTCTTTGTCTTTACGCACATAAAATTAAAAAATTAAAAGAATTGTTTCACAAAAAAAACCGGTTCATAACTGAGTCCTATCAGTATGGTCCATATTGTATACTATTGAAAGTGTAACAAGTTTAGGTATTAATCAGTTATATACAACAGAAATTGCTTTATCTATACCTGGTAACAAATAACAGGAACATGACCAATGACTGAATTAAACATTGTTTCTTTGTCCGAAACGAGAGATAACATTGGATGTTTCTTAGGAGATTCCTGCTCCGAGTCAACAACACTTTGCTTTAAAACAAAAGAGAAAACTCGATTTTAGTAGGCATATTCTTTATAGACTTTATATGATTGATAAATATTATTCATTTTCTAAAGAAATATTAGCCTGTCAGCACGATAACACTTGAACTGATTTTTTTCCCGACGTTCAGTTAATTCCAATAGCTTCCAATTGGGATTCCAATCGGTTCCAATTCAATGTGGACCATTTTCCAAAAGAAATCCCTATTCCGCTATTCGAATTCCAATTGGATATAAGGGAGTATCATTAGTAACGTACCGTAATTTTTAGCTCTTCATATCCCACTGTGGACATTGCTACCATTTGCCCTCCATTTTCGGCTTGAACAGCAATCCTCAGTTGAAGTGATTCAATGTTGGTAATACCTTGCCCTTGCAAGTAAACTTTATCTGGCGGCAGCGCGAACATGAATTCCTGATATCTAAATAAATTGAAGCTAATCTGTCAAAAAGAGGTATTCTTTAGAGAAAATTAGGCTAATTATACATTACAATTTAGGCTATTCATTCATTTTTCTTAAGAAAATTTAGCACTTGACGTTTAAAAACTCATTTAACAATAAACAACATGCAAGTCTTCTTCTTCTATCTTTCATGAGTGTAAAGTCTACACAGAAAGAATTCACTACGCATAACTCTTAATAATTTAGGGCTTAAATTTAATGGTGCTTTTACTCAGGAAGCATGAACCATGAATGATATAGACTATAGAGCGTTTGCACATGACGTCACAGCCGCCATGTTGGTGTTCAAATTCAAAAGAATTTTAATTAGACTCTTTTGTCTGGAACACCAACATGGCATTGGCCGCCATGGCTTTTGTTGAACAGTTGTTCCCTGGGAAATGAGTGCAAACGCTCGATAGGATTGCAAATAATCTGGACAATTGTACATGCAGTAATTTCGGCAGTGAATTAAACGTGAGATAAAAAAGACTCACTTATTTTGTTCAGCATTTTGAGACGATTTGTTAACGTCTGATGTGGTCGTGGCATTTTCATTGTTGCTGTAAATTTCGCTGCTAAATACTTGCTCACCAAGGCATATCGTACATTTTGGCTCCGGAACTAGACAAACATTTAAAATGGCAAAAAAATCGTTGGGAACAACGAGTGAACAACAACAACAATAGCGACAACAACAACAACAACAACAACAACAACAACAACAACAACAACAACAACAACAACAACATAACCAAAATAACAACAATGACAACATCAAGGGTAGACGACAATATACTGCATTTCTCAAAGGAACGAAAACTTAACGACTATATATACGTATCAACATCGTGGCCCATGCTGATAACCCACCACTAAAAGATTTTAAAAGCAAACATACCTAACTTGCATTCAGGTTTGTATATCCGCACGTGCAGGAATCTAAAATAAACATACATAGCATGTCAACGACAACCTGTGATGAAGGGACAATGACAAATGAATTAAGGCATCTCTGCTGTACGCGAAATTTGAATGCATGTTCAGATGTTTATGGTGATTAAGTGGATTCGATGGCGACATCATGCATAAACATACGTTAGCTAATTAGGTATATTCCAATTCTTACCTATCATATTCAGTCTCCCCAGTCCCCACACTCTTATCTTCCTTTGCGCACGGTTTGTTAACTTCTGGTGATTCATCAAAGAATGAAACATTTTTTTGCTAAAATATTAGAGATGAGTAATTATACGGTTTTCCAGTAATTACAAGTACAGCAAATAAAATAGTAACTTATTCAAAACAGAAAAGGACATCAATACCAAATCGAAGGCACAACCACAACGAAACAAGTGTAGTAAAGACTCCTTCCGTCGAAATGCAGAACCCTTTCGTCGAAATGCAGTTAAAAATATCTAATCTTTATTCTTACCTTGAGAAACCTTCGATTTGGAGTTCTTCGAATGTTGGCATTTCGTATGCCAGTTGGACTTTCTACTCGCTCTGATCTAAACCTTCGAGATTGACCTTTACAAAAAAATTAAAAAAGCTTTCAAAATATTATTTTATGGTTTTCTCTGCTCATGGAAAGATGCAAATTTGGTTATAGTTGAAGGGTCTTGTAGATGGAAATTAGCAGGCGAAAATTTATATACATTTATTAGACCTAACCAGGAATAGCTGCTTTAGAGCGCTGCAACCGAAAACGCAGGGCGTCAGATTCGATTCCTGCCAGAAACCTACATGGTATGTAGCGCAAAAATCATGATTATTAGATTACACTGATATCGAAGGAACTAGACTCAGTTCCGAAATATCACTTACTCGAACCGACCTGACCGCGTATCTCAGTTGGCAGAGCATTGGGCTAGTATTCCAAATGTCGTAGGTTCGATTCCCACCGTGGTCAGGCATATTTTTCAAGCTTGCCCGGTGTGGATATACACTCAGAGTAACATCACAAACATCATATTCACCTGAGTACATTACACCAACACAGCAAATATCATGATTATTAGATTACACTGATATCGAAGGAACTAGACTCAGTTCCGAAATATCGCATACTCGAACCGACCTAACCGCGTAGCTCAGTTGGCAGAGCATTGGGCTAGTATTCCAAAGGTCGTAGGTTCGATTCCCACCGTAGCCGGGCATATTTTTCAAGCTCGCCCGGTGTGGATATACACTCAGAGTCACAAACATCATATTCACCTGAGTACGTAACACCAGAAACCTATAGTTTCCTTTTTTGAAGCTGTTCCTGCATGGTTAGGTCTAATAAATGTATATAAATTTCCACTTGATAATTTCCGTCTACAATACCCTCAACTATTATTCAATCGAGTGAGATGCCAACAAAATCGTGAAATTTGGTTAAAGTCTTTTGCTTGCCACACAATGCTGAAACATGGCCTCTTGCTTTTTGTACCTGCCTGTCACATTGCTTATAGCTTTATACATTATTAACGGGGGAATAAGGGTGAAAATTTGAGCACACACCTGTTTCTGTATCAAAAGGATACTTGGATTTAAATCTAACAAAACGAAAAAACCCGTTTACATTAGAGATTCAACCAACTTGGTCGCTGGTAGGCCAGACCTGACGCCTTATCTGGGAACAGTAACTTAACTATTGGCATAAGGAGATTAAGTCACGAACATACCTTGATGCTACAAAACTAGGTTTTGTTTCATGGTTACTAGTTTTTCTCATTCGAGACAAAGTCAGAGGATCCTCTTCAGAAGATATTTCACTTTCTTCCCGACTGTCCTGCAACTAAAGGAAAACCAGAAGTTTTAATTATCTCCACCAGGAGGTAGCCTGCCCGCAGCCTCGGGCTGCTCGCAGGCTATCGGTCAGGAGGTTAGCCGGTCATCCGCGTTTGTATGCTCTAATTAAATCATTATATTTATATAGATCAAGTAGCTTCAAGTGCTAAGATGAGTTGTGGTTTTTCTACCTGAGAAACGTGAGCTGTAGTTAGAAAAACAACCATAACGCACTAACCTCGTTTAGGTCATCGTGTGCTCTACTACTTCGACTGTTACGAGCTTCACGTTTTAATAAAGTTTGATGTCTCAATCTTTGCACATTTCTGCGGTGATGACGCGGAATGATGGGTTCTGCTTTAGAATCTAAACATTTTATTAATATAAGAAATAATACACGATTAAAATAATCTAAAAAACGTTTGTGATGTTCAATATGCGTGAACAGCGCATGCGTTGTTTCAAATTGAACATACCAACAACCTCCGCATCATTTGGGGAACTTGAGGGATATGGTATGGAAAGAATATCTCTAAAAAGAACAACATTAAACATATTAAAAAGATTGTTTTTCTATATCAACAAGATGCAGATGGATATAATTCCCATTAGCTACCAACTACAAGTTTTAGTTATTGCATGATTAAAAATACAAACAAATAATAGAAAATACAAACAAGCTGTGTAAAAAAACTACTATATAATTGGTCATGATAACATGTACTGGATTCAGACTATTCCTGATGTACCAAACAATAATTAATTTTCTCAAAATCATTAATAATTCATGAGCAATTCAGCCAATGATAATCACCTATTTGATCACAAGATATCATTTGGATAACCCGGTGAAACTTGATGAAAGTCACTACTCACTAGTGTTTTCATCACTGAATATCTTAATTACGCATGCAAAATTACTTGAATAGAATTCCTAATTACGTTATGCTTGGTTACGAATTCTATTCAAATCAGCAAACGAAAACATTCTGTTACGTCTCGATTCATTTGAGAAGCCATATAAACAACTCGAGCTCGTGTCTCACTGGGATATCCAAACACTCGAAAACAATGTATGAAAACACTCGCGCTTCGCGCTCTCGTTGTTTATATATTACATCTCAAACGCATTAATAATTCATGACTAAATTAGCCAGTCATATTGCTTTATTTTGCTCACATGATAATACTGGATATCTGGTGAAGTATACTGATCCAGTCCGAGGACATGATCAAAATTAATTCAGTCCTTGGACTGGATCAAAATTGTAGTAATTCACCTCACTTTAAGTATAGTGATTTATTCGTATGAGATGTCAACTCAAATCCTCCAATTCGGACTGGACTAGATTCCTCGCATTTTGATCCAGTCCTCGGCTTCATCTCACACTTGATCAAATTGCGCGGACTTGAAAGTCCAGTCCTCATTGTCGGATTTGAAATATTACATAACTATACAGACATCAGACTAGGTTCAAGTCCGTCTCTCAAGGGGTTGAAAATAGCGATGCACGCGAGCGGTCAAAAAAGGCGCGAAAAATATGAGAGAAAAGTAGGGAGAGACGGACTTGGATACCCTGCAAGCGCGCCAAATTTTACCGTCGGATTTTTCCTACGGAGGCGTGGCTTGCCAATTGAGAACGACAACAAATTTTCGCGCCAATTTTTGCAAGTAACATTTGAAATGCTGCGAATGTCCCAAGTCCGTCTCTCCCTACTTTTCTCCTGAGACGGACTTGAACCAAGTCTATACAGACATCTGCATGCACCAGACTGCCTAATTTTTGTTACCCTGTTTTTGCTTTCTCTTTCAACGATCCAATCAAAAACTTCCATCTGTGACCGTGACTCTTAGCACTCTATGAAAAACATACGCCAAGGGTGAAATCATGGCACTATAATCACAGCTCCCTTTAGTCTTCGGGTTCTACACGCCTTCTATTTGTACTAACCATAACTTTCGAATATATTTTCTCCCAATTTCTGATTCTCTTTTCCTTCTCCATTCTTTCAGACTGAACAAAACAAAACTACGTAATTGCAACATGCACCTCAAAGCATGTTTGCAAAGTGAGTATTAGATAAAAATAAAATTAAGAACCCACCGCTACACCGACTAGTTCAAGCTTCTTTAAAGCAATATCTAACCGCCTTTGTTTGCTAAAAGTAAAATATTGGTAGCGAAGTAAAGACATTTTAATTTTCTTTAATAATTCACATGAATGCAAAATCACAAAGGAATCATGACAATGAATGAGCTTTTATATACACAATATGATAGAAAATCCGCCGTTTTTTACATGAACTTATTATCATCAAATATCACTTGTGTCTCGTCGTGGAAGACATGATCATGAATGATATTTTGTTGTCGGATATGACCATTTTCATCACGACGAAGTACAAGCTCAACTTCGGCTCGTGTTTGACTAAATATCTTACATAACACGCCGCTTATGCTCTATGCATTGTATTGCTTAACAATTATTAAGTAGATGCACGTCCTGTGAAAAATTTCCTTTTCCACTATTTTATTCTGTGTCAATTATAGGACATTATTATAATTGGATAATGGATCGCGTTTTTTCTCATCAACTATACAACATTACTTACCTTTCGTAATCATCGTGAATTTTTTTTAATATATTGCTCTTTGCTTCCCACTGTGCTGAGTACAATCTCACAAGACGCACTAGTTCACTTGTTGGAGTACTGAGGTCAGATGCACTAGAATATTAATGATATCCTTTAGAGATACAAGCATGCATGAACAAAAAATATCGATTCCAGTTTTACAGTGCTGAAATCATGTATACATGCAAGAGTGAAGAGAACATGTGTTGATGTATTATTTCATATAACGGCCACTACACTTTCTTCCCCCAGCTTCTCATCAGACTCATTGATTACAACCTTACAATATTACAACCTTATTGAACAACCCAGTACAAAACATCGGTCAGCACAGCACCGGGAGTAAAACGTTATTGCTATACTACAACTATTGTTCAATAGGTGCAGATGGTGGTCAACAAAATATCTTAAGGAATTGTCCAAACTCGTTTTCAGATTAGTTTCATTAGAATTAAGTGGTAGTCTTGTACATGGTGGCAAAACTACAATAGAGAGATTTTATAGTTCCCACACTTTCATGGTCGCCATCGCTGTCTGTAACACTGAACTCTGCCATTTTATTACAAGTACCTTCTATACAGTTTGGAACATGTTAATGTGAGGTTGATCAAAAGATTCGAGGGCAACGAATGCTAGACAAAGAAAAAGATATGCAACGTGAAATTTGCTGGACTTTCATCAGTTATTTAACATTCATTAATAATTCATAAGCTTATTGGCAAATCATGTCAACCATGCATAATATGTCACGTGCAGTGGTTCAGTTTAAATCTGATAAAACACTCCTAATTAGTATTTTTTATATAAAGAATACTAATAAGGCAGTATCTATTGTAGTCGTGTCCTCATTAGTATTCTTTATATAAAGAATACTAATAAGGTAGTATCTATTGAATTTGTAGTCGTGTTTGAAGCCGTTTAATAAACTCGCAGGTCGTGTTTTATTAGGTCTAAAGCCACTCGTGCTGCGCGCTCGTGTCTTTAAACCTAATAAAACACTCCTGCTCGTTTTCTAAACAGTACATTATACTAATCGTTTTAGTATAATTTCAGTATTGAAAAAGTTTTATATATAAACACATTAACACAACTAATGCACGTGTTTATTTTATGAATATAATTTGCATATATAATTTACTTCCGTCTGATTTTCAGCCATTTTTTTTGGAGAAAGCAATAGTTACTGCTCAGAGCAGTCCGAGCTGTAACTATTGCCTCAGAGTAACTGCTGAGGGAGCCAGTCAGAATGCTCAAAGGCCATTTTTCAATACTGAAATTATACTAATAACAATTATAAAATACCATAATTAAACTATATATTTAATAATTAATAACACTAGGAGAAAAATAAATATATATTAAAAGCAGCTAAAATGATATTGTCTATAGACTATACTGATATTGTCTGCCGAACAGGTGTCGATCATATACATGTAATGTTGAGTATAATTATGTTGGGTTCCAAAGTGTAGGCAGCGTTGGACAATTTTCACGAACTACAAAAAAACCCCAACATCTTGAATATTAAAAAGAGTAGTCATAACCCTTTTCATGAGTTGTGATCTGTTTCGGAATGCCCATGCATGTAAATCCACCGCGCACCGCTGCCACCAATTTGACAACAGGTTGATATTGCACAACAAACAACTTTTTGCTGTGCCGCCGAGTGTGCGGGGCATTTTCCCGGGCCCCCACAACCCAAAAGGGGTCCCGAAAGCAACGAAGGCTCTTAAAATTTCTTGATACAAGATTGCTTATAACCGAGAATATAAATCCTAAATGCGTCAGTGCTGGATAATATGCAGTAACGCTTTAGTGATATCAACTAAAATAGAAATATCGGTATCGGTAATTTTGTTGTTGATATTACCGATATTACAAACTGTTATTAAATATTTATCAATTATTGGACGAGGTTGAGCAAAATATTGTGATTTGTCGGTGGCGAGCAGATCAATTATTTGCCGATGCCGAAGGCAGAGGCAAATAATTGATCTGCGAGCCACCGACAAATCACGATATTTCGCGAGAACCGAGTTCAATAATTGTTTTAGTTCACTTATAAAGCTTCATTTTATCTTTCGTTTAATATATAAGTTCGCCGTCTCTCTTTCTTGCTTCTGCATAATTCATAAAACTTGCAAAGGACGTTGGCAAGAGTTTCTTTTGAGCCAACTTGATCGTCTTGTTGATTTATCTTTGATTTATCTTGATCTATCTCTTTTTATTTTCGGCGTTTTTTTCTTGCTTACGCAAGATAACTCATTTTCCGAAAGTTCAGCCAAAGATTAAGTATATACTTAATCTTTGGTTCAGCAAACCGAGCCGCCATTGTTTACAAAAATTGAAGGCAATGCGCATGCTCAGACTATTACTTGTAGCTGAGCAACGTTTTTAACAAAGGCGCATGCTCAGACTATTATTTGCACGCAGTTATTTGCAGGTAAATTAACCAATCAAAATTGAGAATACTATAAAGTGAATGATAATAATGATTGATTGCATGGTTATAGTTGCAGTTCAATAGTTATTTTTATTTCAAGCATTTGCAGTATTTTATTTGATATTTTCAGCATTTGAAACAAACAAATTGAATTAAATTCAAAAGTGTTAAAGTAGAACTGTCATGATGTCATCTTTGAATTTTGTGAAATGACATAGTCATAAAATATCGGTATAGGTACATCGGCAAAATATCGGTCATCAATATCGGTTATCGGAATATCGGTGAATTTCCATGTGCATCACTGTAATACGCGCTTAATATATTGTAAAACACCGCTTCTCCTGTTTTATAATCACACCGCACGCAACCTCTCATGAATCATAACGAAACTATACTAACAACAGAATCTTTGCAAACCTTTAGTAATTCGTCCTTTATTGTAAGCATCTATAAATATGAAAAAGATTTTCAAAATAAGTAATTTCATAACCAGGCTGTAAATTGACCACAGCGCTTACATCATAAGCAGCCCAGCAAATGATATGTATATGCAAATAAAAATGAGTTAAAAATAACGTTCGCCTGACTTTGCTAGCAACTAGCAAGCGATTTATTGTGTAGCTCATCATGTATGCAGCTACATACATAAAGTCAGGCGAACATATATTTGTTGGTCTGCCTATGCTTATATTATATGGAGTGGTGCAACTAGACTTGCTCCATGACGTCTGCCTATCAAAGTGGTTTCAAATAAAACTCGAGAGGCAGACTGCAACAAGCACGCGCATGCTTATCAACATCAGACACACGGAAGTATTTACATTTATGATGAGATTCAGAGAAATTACTTCAAACAGATTTTCATGCGTCCAGTCCTTGAAGTTACACCGTGTAATTTGTATAATTTTTACCCCCATGGAAGTCGACTACAACAATCTTGCTCCCTAATTAAAGTTGATGTTATACATCGAATTTTGGTCGCGTCGAATGCAATTAAGACAAATAATGATTAATGAGATGATAAACCTCATTAAGCTTCATAATCTATTGTTTGAAATAAAAAAAATTTGTCCCGGGCCCCCGCCAACCTCTCGGCGGCCCTGTCGAAATCTGCTGCCGGATTTTCTCGAATAACATACTCGTTTTTTTGGCGCGCCAATCGACAGTGAAATGATTGACGTACGTTGCATTGCCCTATATATGACTATAAGGTTTTGACATCATCTGTTTATCTTTAAGTGAACAAGTTTTTTATACTGATCATGATGACTAAAGATATCGCATAAGTTGCATCCTACCTCAGTTAAGTAAAGATCAAACAAAGAATGAGCAGTTAATACACCATCACAGAGAGTATTGAATTTATCAATTTCACTTCCAGAATTTAACCCAGGCGTCTAGATCGGAAACATGAAAAATGAAATAATTACATAACACCCAAAGCCATGCTGAAGACTGTTCTCAAACACCTTATTATTTTTTTCATAATGCCACACTTCTCATTAGACAATACATTTCAACAATTAATATACATTATTATACAGGGTGTATCAAAAAAAGTAAGACAATTTTGAAATTGCTCTCAATTCCACAATTCTGTTAATGAAATGTAATTGTTGATATATATGGATTGCTTGAGTTCTTAAATTATGGAAAATATAAAAAATTTTGAAAATAGTAAATTTTGCTATCCAGGGGGTGGTCAACTTTTGCTCCCCTAAAAGTGGCTTGCGCACGGAAATGACAAACGGTATTCTTTATTTGAGTTCATGTATGAAAAGTTCGCTATTTGTTGCATTTATATTATGATAAAATTTCGGCAGGATTTTACCGAGTACAAATCCTCCGAAAAGCCTATGAAACGTTACATTTTTCTCTGTTGGTGCTGTTCTTGCTTCATTATGAATTCATTTTTATTCCCATGAGAGTTCCATGGAATTTCCATGGAATTTGTGCGTCCGAATACGTGAAGGGCATCGTACATCTGGATATTCTTTCGTAAAACTTTGGCCAACCAAGTTTATGTTGTTGCTACGGAGGAACTCTGATACCATGCATAAAAGCTCTCTACTGCGGAGTAAATTGTGGCATCGCCATTTCAAAGTGTACGGGGTATTATACGAGAGAATGCGTTTCAGCACAAACAACTCGAAAGCACAAATTCCATGGAAATTCCACGGAACTCTCATGGGAGCAAAAATGAATTCATAATGAAGCAAGAACAGCACCAACAGAGAAAAATTTAACGTTTTCATAAGCTTTTCGGAGGATTTGTACTCGGTAAAATCAACTGGAAGGCAGTGGTGACAGCGGACTAGCCTTTTTTCCACAAATCTCATGGATCTCAAGGAAGAGAATTGTTCAACTGAAATTTTACTTTTGCTCTTGAATTGGGTAACTATATGTATGCTCACTTATCCACCGGACCCAGCATTCAAATTTTATCCACCGGACCCAGCATTCAAATTTTACTATCCGCAGATATTTTTATTTCGGGTGACGCAACCGTTTTAACTCTTAAGATTCCGAATTACGCAGTTCACGCAAAGCAAATTCAAAAAATTCATTTTCATTGGACGAATTGTTCGCGAGAAGCAAATTGAGAAACAAATTTAGCAAGTATCAACGTGATTAGTTAGCCAGTAAAAAGTTCGCCGAGAAAAAGTAGGAACCGATCCTATATCCACTCGTAGTTTTACCAAGGGTGTCAATCCTGGGGGGGGGGGAGGAGATTCGTAATATAATCTATAATCTATAATAAATTACGTCCATTGGTCGACATCGTCTCCCCCCCCCCCCACTTTTTGGAGTGGATTGTCGCTTTTGATTTTCACTCGTATCCACACTTCTATAGCAAAATCGAATGTCCGAGACACAATCAACGTACACGATAACGCACTGCATGGGATGCGGTTTGCGCTGCTCCTCGGGTTTAATGCTGCAGGTCGAGATTTTAGGTATTTATTTAAGTTGGGTGAAGTAGAATTTAGTTATTTGGTTCTCTCATAACTCTCATGTGCAGCCAGGGTTTTTCTCTGGGTCCCCCTTTTTTTCTCTGTCACCAAAAAACTAACGTCGAGCACGTCACACGTAAGGTAATCCAATGCACTCCTTGGATTCCGGATTCCACTCCTTGGATTCCAGATCGGTCATGGATTTCCGGATTCCAGAAAATTGGCCCAGGATAAGGATTCTGGATTCCTCCGATGTTTGGATTCCGGATTGCAAAGCTTATTAAGTCGGATTCTGGATTCCCTTACATCCACATGGGGCATGAATTGGTGTATCGATCACGAGCTTCTGTCTGTGATGACCACATCTTGTGTAATTGATATTTAGCCATTCCGAAGTTGATGAGTGGACTGGGGACGAGTGTTAAAAAGTGCCCAAATTAAGAAATGAAAGGGTTAGGTTTTAGGGGTTAGGTTCTAGGGGTTAGAGGTTAGGGTCGGGTTGGGGGTTGGGATTAGGATGCTCAGGTATATACCTAGCATGGGAACTACCTGCATTCTAAAATTTAGAATACCGGCTACGTACCCAAATAGAAATAGCGAAACGGCTGTTGGGACGCGTGCCAAAAACAATCTTTTAATCAGTAATTTCATAATTTTCGAAAGCTTATTATTCGAAGGGTATTCATGTAAACGTCTTCAAACTTTGTATACTTACTAATTTTGAGGTGTTTTTTTTTAGTGATTAATAGTTCATTTCTTAATTTGGGCACTTTTTAACACTCGTCCCCAGTCCACTCATCAACTTCGGAATGGCTAATAGAGAGGTGAAGTGAATATTTTTGGCGTACTGGCGCAAAAAAATAAGGGCAGACAAAAATTTGCCACACGTTCATTGAAATGGGCAGACATTACAGTATCATATATGGGTTTATTGATAGATGAACAAAAAATAAAAATAAATGATTAGGTCTTATCTTGCAGATATTGATCTTGCAGAATCTTGCAAGTATGACAAGTATTGATCTTGCAGATCAGTTAACCAGAGTTTGGGTATAAAATGACCAGAGTTTGGATACAATCAGGACATCAAGAATAAAATCATTGGTATCTAACAATAAATTCTTATCTATATTTGTCCCAAACTTTGCTCAGACTCTTACCTCATTAACCTTGACAGTTGGCTGACATTCCTCCTTACTGAAACTTGACAAAGATTGACCTGCTCCTTCTAAGACATCTACAGCAAATATTTTCAATTTCGTTTGTGCAAGTTTTATGAACACTTTGCAGTCAGTGCTTTGCTTAGAAGCACAAAGGGGTGGGGGTGCTGGCCTCCAATTATTAGGCAAAGAAGGGTTTGAAGACTATACAGACTAAACGTGCAGCCATCAATTGAAGGGATCTGGATGTTAGCATTTCCAAATAAAACATGCCCATACACTAGTTTCCGCCTACACACAGCATTAAATAATTTTCCATCAAGTGTGATTCTTAAATTGGGTCTCTCTCTATTGACATGTACCAGTCAATGGGCAGAGCTAAGTATTGATGACGAAATCCCTATTGAGTGTGTATGTATCAAACATGTTCAATTAATAACAACTACAGTAAATGGGCGTTTGGGGCTTCAGGGGTGATCTGTCTTGATCTGCAGGTACAAAGCGGGATGGGGTGCTCAAGGAAAAGGAATATGACAATTAGCTGCTGAACTGACTTTAATTAACTAAGGTACTCAAACGTGGAATGAGCCATGAAGACCCACAACAAACCACGATGACCCACAACGAGCCACAATGACCCACAAACAGCCACAATGACCCCACAACAAGCTGCACCAGCCACAACAATCCCAAAATGACCGTCAGTTGCAATTTTGCATGACGATAAATAATAAATAAAGTTTTTGTTTGTGGATTGTCGTG